GTCGTCATCTCGCGAGAAAGCCTGAGGGGCGGGGTCGAGAGCGAGGGGGGGAGAGGGCGGAGTCGCGGCCGCCTCCGCCTCCTCCCCCGCCCCCTGCTGGAGGCCGAGGGAGGGACTGTTGCCGAACTGGACGTTCCGGGCAGTCTGAGGAGAGTATGAGGCGAGCGCCGGCCGCGGCACGCCCGGGCTTCGGGGGCCGAGGCGCCGCCGCCGCCTTCTGAGGCGCTGCGACCGCCCGCAAGGTCCGGCGCGCGGATGGTGCCCGTGCGGCTCGGGGGCTGATCGCACGTCCCCTCCCCCGACCCCTCCCCACGCGGTGGGCTCCCCTCCCACCCGGCGGCGGAGCCATGTCTCGGGGTGGCTCCTGCCCACACCTGTTGTGGGACGTGAGGAGAAGGTCCCTCGGGCTGGAGGACCCGGCCCGGCTGCGGAGCCGCTACCTGGGTGAGCGGGGGCGGCGGGCGGAGCGCCGGGTGCCGCCCAGGCGTGGGGGAGGGGGCCGCGGCCGGGGCTGTTGGCGGCGGGACGGCGCCTCGGCCGGGGCGCCCCGGAGACTCGGGGGGCGCTGGGCGGAACCCGACGGGCGGACCCCGAGCCCCGCCCTCCACGGCCAAGCCCCCTCGCGTGCTGCCAGCTGCCGCCCTGGCCGGGTCTTCTCGCGGGGCCGGACGGTACCGGCCGGGAAGGTGTCGGGGCGGCTTCGGGAGCGGGACTTGGGACGCGGCTTGCCGGGCCTCCCGGGGCGTTTGGAGCAAAGTTGGCGCTCCGGCTCCTCCCGGCGCCGGCCCCGCGCAGCCGGGACCTGCTTTCGGCCGCACCCCCCCTCCGGCCTCTGGAGGGCAGGGGGTGGGCTCCGCCGCGCCGACCGCCCCCGGGACTGTCACGCTCGCACGGGCTCCGCGGAGCCCCCGCTCCGGCCGGGCTGCCGCCGCGGGGCCGGGGCCGCTGGGCGGCCGGCTCGGCGCCTTGAGGAGGTGTAGGGTTTCACGTTCCCGGTCCCAGCCCCGCGGAGCACACTTGGCATTTTCTGGTTCTTAGTTCAGCTTTCTAAAAACAGCCTTCCGTGCCTGAGGGAGCTGCCTTCCACCTTCCCCCGTTCGGATGGAGCGGTTTGGTGGGGATTCTGGGTCACGCCCGGGCCAACCAAAAAGTCCACCGTCTTAAAAGTGGACCTACCCAGCGTGGGTCTTGTTGTTTTCTTCTTGTGCAAACTTGTCATTTCTCTTTATTCTTCATTTGTTTTAATTTGAGGATAACATGAAAGTTTCTTTCCAATTTTGCCACTTTTACGGGCTAAATCTTTTTTTGTTATTTGTTTTGGACTTCAAGTCCGCAGAGAAGTTGAAAGCATTTTTTTTCTTAGCCTTGATGTTGCTTTTTAGTTTTGCAAGTGACATATGAATACATTCTCCTTGTAAAAACTTAGTAAAATGAAGCAAAAAGCCCTGTGATCCTTCCCATTCCAATTTCCCACACACACATCCTTGGAAGTAACAATATTGTCTGTTTCCTGAATATTTGTCCAGACTTTTCTCTGCATTCTTACCAGCACATATGTATACATAGAGATGCTATAGTGTGTGTGTGTGTGTGTGTGTGTGTGTGTGTTGTGTGTGTGTGTGTGTGCGTGTGACCAGCATATGCTGTAAACATTGCTTTGCAACTTTCTTTTTCTACATCTTAGAATTCTTAACATGACAGTAAAAATAGATTTGCTCTTTCTATAGAAACATATATAAGTTTACATATTTTCTTCTGGTTCAGCTGTGTCTATGATAGAATCTATTAAAATAAAAACCCTAGATTCCCCCCTTCCTATTCTAACTCTAATGGAATGGAGTTTGTGTTGAAGTTAGGGAATAGATCTCTTTCCTCCTGCTTCATACATCAAGGGTCAACCACTAAACCACACCGTCCAGACTAGATCCCATTTTTGAGATTTTAACATTTAAACGTTTTGATTATAGTATTGTAAATTAACTACATTTCTAGTTTATTTCCATTATTTGTATTTCTGATAATCAATTACTACTAAATAACAGTGAAATTGGGATAAAATGAAGTGACAGATCTTTCTTGTGACATTTGCATTTCAAATTATTTCACCATAGAATGTATCTTTTCAATGGTAATATTCAAGCTTTGTTGTTTTTGTTTTATTTAAATTTGGTTTATTATCTCTTTTCCTCTCAAGAGAGAAAATTACAGTTCACAAAATGTGCTTTCCATTGTGAGAACGAAGATAATAATTTGTCATACATTATTTAGGAGAAAAAGTATATTTACCAGTAGCCTCCAAATTCACCTAAACCAGTAGAGCTTGGGTTGAGACAGTAGTCCAGGGTTTGTCTTCTCTGTGACCCTGATAAAAATTTCAGTGCAAGATTTATTTTTTTAAACACTAATTGTCAAAAATCCCGAGTTGGAGACACTTATAAGTTTAAGTATTCAGATTTTCTCAACATGTTGTATACGCTGTAGCCACTGAGCACATTGGGAAGTTCTTTGGAATTCAGTGATTGTTACAAATTATTAGCTACACGTTTTAGTGTATATTTGTTTTGTAAAGATAAGCATTGCTTATAAAAGAAACTCATTTCTATACATTTCCTCTTTCCATGTATCTTTCATTTTAGACAGACATGTCTACTACCTATAATGCTTAAAATATTTAATATAAAGTGTTCAAGTTAAGATTAAGTAGTGTCTTGGTCAGCCTGGGCTGCTGTAACGAATTGCCATAAACTGGGTGCCTTGTAAACAAGAGAAAATGGTTTATAACAAATTTGGAGGCTGGAAGGCTGAGATCAGGTGTACACATGGTCAGATTCTGTCCAGGCCTGCTTCCTGGTGCATAGCCATCTTTTCACCATAACCTCATATGGCTGAAGGGCTAGCTTCTTCTCTGGGGTCTCTTTTAGAAAAGCCCAAATCCAGTTCCACTGGCCTCCCAAGACCCCACGTCCTCATACTATCACTTTGGGCATCAGGATTTCAATAGAGGAATTTGGGGATGGGAGCTATATAGTAGGCAGCCTGTGACAACTTTATAGTAGAGGTTGAAATCCTTTTGTAAGGGGATTAGGAAGACTGTCTGAATATTATTAAAGTCAATATGCATTGAAATGGATAATTTTTCATTTACTCTCTTTTAAGTAACTTTTATTTTTGAGAGTATTGCAGATGTCCCCCATTTTTAGCACATCCTGAATTATATCCACATTCAGATTTACCAAATCCATAATGTGTTGCCAAGTTACAATATATTATATGAGGGTCAGTAAATTCTGACTTTGCCTCCTATTTAGCTACTGGGGAAGAGTTAGTGTTTCTTTAGTCTTGAAATCTCTAAAAATTGGAAAATGTCTGATTTTAGTAGTGAAAACGTCAAATATGAAAATATGTCAAATAGAATATGCTAATTCTTGAATATAAGACCATCAGAGGCATATTTTCAGTCATAAATGTAGATAGCAGGATAGGATCGCTCTGTTGAGGACTTCATCCTTCCCTGGTATTGAATGAATGTGTTGAGGAGGGACAAGAGCTTCTGGTAGCGCAGAACTTGTGTTACAGTTAGATAGTAGGTCAGTGTTTGCAAGTGTTTGACCATGATCCACTGTGAAAATGTATATACATGGCAGCTTGAGATACACATGCACACTGAAATAAAAAATTATAGAGTAGGATTTAGCCTTACTAGGTGAGGTATATTTTAATTTAGTTCTTTATCATATTGAAAATGTTGGTGTTGACCCAGTACAGTAGTCGGCAAACTGCTGCTCATGAGCCACATGTGGCTCTTTGGCCCCTTGAGTGTGGCTCTTCCACAAAATACCATGGCTTGGTAGAGTCTCTTTTGAAGGTCTGCTTAGAAGAAGTTTAAATTTAAAAAATTTGGCTTTCTAAAGAAATTTCAATCGTACTGTTGATATTTGGCTCTGTTGACTAATGAGTTTGCTGACCACTGATCCAGTAAATACCCACTAATGAGTTTCAGCTTGAGGTCTGCAAAACTATTCTAGATGATGCGTATTTTTTTTATAACTGTAATTGAATGTTGTTGTCTTCAGGATTCGAGTGGCTGGGGTTTCCAAGTATAGCAGATTTTAAAAAATGTTTAAAACACTGCTTAAAACACTGCTGATGTCTAATATGGAAGATATAAATAATGAAACTTTTTATTTAAACATTGGAAAATAAAACTAGAGCAGGATTCTTTAAAATCCTCATTTATTGGGTAAAGAACAGGGAGATTGCTGAGTTATATACTATGTGTGTTTAACTTCACAAGAAACTGCTAGACTATTTTCCAGTAATTGTACTATACTGCGGTGCTTGAGCGCCCTGTTGTTCCACATTTTTATCAACACCTGGCATTGTGAATCCTCCTAATTTTAGTCTTTCTAGTAAGTTTGTAGAGGTACATTATTATCTTTTTAAGAAAAAGTATTTTTATTGATTTCTGAGAGAGAGAAAAACGTCAGTGATGAGAGAGAACCATTGATCAGCTGCCTCCTGCACGCCTCCTACTGGGATCAAGCCTGCAATCTAGGCATGTTCCCTTGACCGGAATTGAACCCTGGACCCTTCCATCCAAAGGACGACACTCTAGCCACTGAGCCAAAAGAGCTAGGGCCATTATTATCATTTTAATTTGCAGTTGATTTAATTCCCATGATTAATGATACTGAATATCTTTTCACTGTTTATTTGCCACCCATACACTTTGGTTAAATGTTCAGGTTTACCTTCTTAATAATTTAAGAATTCTTTACATATTCTTGATGCAGGTCAAGATAATGCGTTTTGGATATGCATTTTGCAGTATTTTCTCCCAGTTTGTCTTGTCCTTTATTTTTCTTAACAGTGTCTTCTGTAATTCATACTTTTGGTATCCTATTTAAGACTCTACCTAATCCAAGATCAAAATTATTTCTACTGTGGGTTTTTTTTGTTTGTTTGTTTTTTTTAACGTTTTCTATTTTTAACTTACATTTAGGTTTATGAACAATTTTGAATTATGCTATGAAGTAAGGGTCAAGTTTCGGCTCTTTGCCAATGAATGTGCATTGATTCAGCACCATTTGGAAAAAGGCAGTCCTTTTCCCTTTGTTGAAAATCAATGGACCATGAACATGGGTTTTTTCTCTCTATTTTTTTAGGTGTTCTTTCTTTTCCCTCAGCAATGCATTATATATATATATATTTTTTTTTTACAGTCTACAAATCTACACATATTTTGTTCCGTTTTCCCCTATATTTTGTTTTCTCTCTCCAGAGGTTTGTCACTTCCAGCTCTGTGGTACGATGCCATGGGGTGGTTACTTCAGGAAGACAGCAGTCAGTAGTGACAGATAATTCTAGGAGGTCAGGAAAAGTATGACTTGAAAAAAGACCATTGGATTCACTGATAACCCATGATTTCCAAGAAAAAAAAACAATAAAGAGGAGGGACCAAAGGCACAGTGTCAGAAAAGGAAGACCTGACCATGAGCCAGGGAGGGCAGCAAATGTAGATGATGGAAATTTGGCATAAGAAGCTGTTGAGACAATAGGATCAAGAAAAGTGAACATTTCTGCACAGGCGCTTTCCTTCTCAGTATCACTAACCTTATTCTTTTCTCTTAACCACTTGAAGTTACCTCAGCCCCTTCAATAAAGTCTTTCTTTAAATCATCCTTTCTCTTTTCAGACAATATTAACTTAGGACAATCCCACATGTGCATAAGGAGACTGCTAATCTTGAGTGTCTACAGTATATCAGTCACATCTATGAGTTTCCCGTATGCTAATTGTTTACTCTCAGCATTAAACCTGTAAAGGTGATGGTAATATTCTCATCAGAGATAAAACTTGTACCAATGTGAAAACTGAGGCTTTTAGAGGTTAGGTTTTTCCCAGAGTATGTGTATAGTACGTTTCAAGTTAGATATTTAAACCTAGTTCTGACCTTCCTTGTCTCAAGCATCTAATAATGTAATAAGAGAGCTAGTTATGCAGATAAATAACTTATAAAGCTATTTAATAAGTTTCTCAGTCATTAAAATGAGTAATGGCTCAGTATTGATTGTCATTGAAAGATGTTCCTCCCAAATTATTGAGTGAAACACATTATAGAACAGAGTGAAGACTTTGATCCCATTCATTTATTCATTGATTCAGCAAATACAGATTGAGTGCCTGCTTTGTGCTAGGCACTGTTCTAGGCATTTGCTCCTCTTTTTTATGGAGTTTATAATCCATTAATACTGAATGGAATGCTGAGTTTGAAATGGAATCTTAAGAGGCAGTTTGGGTCGCAGAAAGACTGGAGTGGGAAGCCACTGTCATAGGTAAATTCATCTGTCACAAGAGTGTAATTGTTGGAAGAGTTTTCCATGCTTTGTTACATTTCTGCATGTCTTGTGAGCTGAGGCACTGGCTGCTTTGTTCTGGACTATCTTTCCAACGATGTTTACATAGTTTCTCCCTCTGGGGCAGAGGGCAGACTTATTTATTGTCCAGCATAATGAAGACAATGTGTCCCTTTTATCAGGCAGGTTATTTGATTCAATATTTGGGTCCCCGCAGTTCAGAGCTTTCTGGCTGTGATTCAGATCCAATGCTTGCACATTGTAGCATCCAGACTGCTCCGCATTGCCCAGTGGGAATTGGGGGCTGAGGAGTAAAGTGTTAACCTGAAGCCCATACCGTTTGCTGTGCCATGAGTAGTAAAATCTTTGCTTCTGGCTTGAGAGTCTTTTTCTTCTGCCAGCTCCCATGAAATGGCAGGTAACTTGTCAGCTTGCAAGTAGGCCAGACTCTGCAGGCATGAGTTTATTTTTACTTTTGTTTGAGGGGGGTTGAGTTTCTTTAACTTACAGCTCTTATTTTCTGATGGCTTTCAGTTCCCATTTCTTAGAAGCGCATTGAATTGCTGAAAAGGTAGAGGGTGTTGACACTTGTTATTTCTAGAAGCTCATTTTATGGGATCTGTGTACGCACAACCATTTTGATCTCCAAAGTCAAGTTAAAAAATACTCAGGAGCTATCTACTTAACTATTGTGCTTCAGCGTGTGTTTTAGGTACAAATTTCGTAGATGAGCATTATTCTGGAACTCACTTTGTCTTCATTTGTCTTATGTGCCATCATTATTTTCTGTAGACAGAAATGGCAGAGCTGTTTTTTCAAAATCAGATTTTTGAAGTTTGGAAAAGTTTCTAGTACATTTATAAAAATATTTTAATGAATTGTTAATGTTGTTAATTTGAATAATACTTTATTTCTTAACTATGAATTGATTACTTCATAGAATTACCAAGCCTGCCATTGGCCAAAGAGAAAAGAATTTTTTTTATTTTTATTTTATTTTTTAATTTTTTTATTGATTTTTTCACAGAAAGGAAGAGAGAGGGATAGAGAGTTAGAAACATCGATGAGAGAGAATCATGGATCAGCTGCCTCTTGCACACCCCCTACTGGGGATGTGCCCGCAACCAAGGTACATGCCCTTGACCAGAATCGAACCTGGGACCTCTCAGTCCGCAGGCTGACGCTCTATCCACTGAGCCAAACCGGTTCCGGCGAGAAAAGAATTTTTTAAAAAGTTATCTATTTGCACCCAGATGGTGTGGTTCAGTGGTTGAGTGTCGACCTATGAACCAGAAGGTCACAGTTCAATTCTCTGCAGGACACGTGCCCAAGGTTTGGGATCAATGCCCAATGAATGATTCTCATTGATATTTCTATCGCTCTCTCCCTTCCTCTCTGAAATCAATAATTTTTTTTAAATTTGCTATTAATAATGTTTTTATAACTGAAAATTAGATTTGAAAAGTTAAAGTACAACCCTGTTCAGGAAAATACCTTACTGAATTTCTATCAATTGTTTTATTCTACAATAGTAAGTTTTGGAAATGTAGAGCATTCCCCACAAACAAAAAGAAATTTTTTAATCCATATGTTCATCCTCTACCTAGACATCTTGCCAGTTATAAGGAAGGAGAAAAAAAAAACAGTTTGGCTTCAAAGAAGATGCTGATCTTTATGTAGCATGGCGAGAAAACATAATAAAGAAATCTGTCCCTATGACAGTATACAGAAAGCATAGTCAAATTTAATTTTATCCGAGATTTCATCAGCCTGATTACTTAGCTAATTATCGCTCTTTGTCACATACTCAGCTTCCTTTCACTACAGTTTCTGAATAAACATGAAGCTTTTTGGTCCATCTTTGGTAAAGATGATTCATGTCTTAAAGGGAAACATATTTCTCTTTTTCAAAGAAGGAACATGTTCTATTTTTGTAGTGTTTTAACTGATGGACAGTTAGGTTGATTTTATTTTATTTTTTGCTGCCACATTTCATCATTGCAAAATGAGCTTTGAAATATGTTAACATTTCTCAAATTGAGATGTGTTTAAGTAGAGGTGGCAGCTAGCAAACGCTGTGCGCCACCCTATTTCAACTGAAACCCCGTCCTCCACCTCCAGGCCTCTCTCACCCCTTTCTCTGCTTCACTTTTCCATGTAGCACCTTCACCTTCAAGTGTATTGTTTATTATCTTTCATCCCTCACTAGAGGACAGGGGTCTTTTTCTGTTTTGTTTTACCACCGTATTCCTAGCTCCTACTATACTACTTGTACAGAGTAAGTACACTGAGTATTCAATGTATTTGTTGGATGAATGAGTGAATGAAGGGAACCTTGAGTGTTTACTGTGGTCCAGACATGGTGCTAAGTAAGCCCTATCACCCAATCCTTTAACTACAAGAAGTAGGTAGGTACTCTCATGAGGAAACTAGGGCACAGGATGGGGTTAATTTGCCCAATATCACTCAGTTTATAAATGGAAGAGTTGAAATTAGAGCTTGAATCTACTTACGCCAGATCCTAGGCTCTTAACTTCAGTGTTCTACTTTCCACAGCAATAAATTTTAGGATGTATTTAGTTCTTTCTTTCTTTTGAAACAGGAAGAAGAGAATTTATCCAAAGATTAAAACTTGAAGCAACCCTGAATGTGCATGATGGTTGTGTAAGTAATAGTTGTTTTCAACCATGAATGACTTTAAAACTGAGTGTTGAAATGTTTGATAAAATGCCCCAGCCTTGCACACTGAAAGGTTGCTGGTTCATGCAGAAAGCAGCCCGTTGATGTTACTCTCTCTCCTCCTTCCTCTCTCTCCAAAAATTAATTTTAAAATCTTTTTAAAAAAATTCCCCAGTTTTCCCTGAAGAGATTGTAACTGACCAATAAATTGGGAGAATAAAGTTTTACATTGAAGTGATTTTGAATTTAAAAAAGTATATGGTACGTGTTTTTTTTTTTTTTTTTTTAAATATATTTTATTGATTTTGTACAGAGAGGAAGGAGAGGAATAGAGAGTTAGAAACATCGATGAGAGAGAGTCATCGATCAGCTGCCTCTTGCACACCCCCTACCGGGGATATGCCCGCAACCAAGGTACATGCCCTTGACTGGAATCGAACCCGGGACCTTTCAGTCCCCAAGCCGACGCTCTACCCATTGAGCCAAACCAGTCCCGGCGGTACGTGTTTTTTAAAGTAGAGATGGTCCATGCTACTCTGACTATCCATTCCATTTTGACTAAAAGTGGAAGTCTAAGTAGTTTTTAAAAATTTAGATATAGTTTATATGTCATAAAATTGACCCACCTTAATGTGTAATCCAGGGTTTTTTTATGTTTTATATTTTTTATATTGTGTATCTATTTTATTGACTATTGGGGAGACATTGGTTAATAAAATTATATAAAATTCTCTAATACATTGTATTGTGTGTTCACCACCCCAAGTCAAGTCTCCTTCCATCACCATTTATCCCCTCTATAATTTAGTGGTTTTTAAAATATAATCATAATGTAGTACTGCCGTCATCACTATCTAATTCCAGTATATTTTCAGCATCTGAAATATAAGTTTGTGCCATTTATCAGTCATTCCCATGCCCTCCCCACCTAGCTGTTGGCCTTCACTAGTTTACTTTCTGTCTCTATAGATATGCCTCTTCTGGACTTTTTATGTAAGTAGAATAACATGTAAGGCTTTTCAGACTGGCTTCTTTCATTATCATTAACGTTTTCAGGGTTTGTCCATGTCACATTATGGGTAATATTGCTGAATAATATTTCATTGTGCAGATATTTTGTTATAAGCAAACAGTCACATTTTGTTTATAATATTTGGGTTGGTTTCTCTTTGGGTTCTTATGAATGATGCATCTATGGACTTTTGTGTACAAGTTTTTGTGTGACATGTTTTATTTTCTCTTGCATATAGACCTTGTTGTGGAATTAATGGGTACAGCATAATTCTGTGTCAGTTTTGAGGTGCTGCCAAACTTTTTCCCAAAGAGCTGTGCTATTTTGCATTCTTTCAGCCATGTAGAAGGCCTCCAGTTTCTTGACATCCTCACCAACTCTTATTTTCTGTGTGTGTGTGTGTTTGTTTTTAATTATTATAGCCACCTTATTAGGTGTGAAATATAATAGTAACTCATTGTGGTTTTAGTTTTCATGAAGATTTACACCTATGTTTTCTTCTGAGAGTTTCATTGTTTTGGCTATTACGTTTCAATATTTGATCATTTTCAGTCAGTTTTTATATATGGTGTGAAGTAGGAGTCTAAATTCATTCTTTTGCCTGTGTATATCCAGTTGTCCCAGCACATTTGTTGAAAAACTGTTCTTTCTCCATTGAGTAGTCCTAGACTCCTTGATAAAAATTACTTGACCATGAATGTAAGGGTTTATTTCTGACTATCCATTCCATTCGGTTGATGTGTGTTTATGGTTATGACACCACCACACAGCCTTGACCACTGCAGCTTTGTAGTAAGTTTTTTTAATTCCTGTTTAGGTGACCCAGTTTTATGTCTTTGGATATAAAATGAATTAGTTAAAATAATTTAAATAATAAAATTTAAGAGAGACAAACATTTAATTGTGAATTTTCAGAATATTGTGTTTGCTAAATAGAAGTCAACATGTACTTTCAGGTAGTAAATTGGTAAATACTATTTTCCGTACATACAACCTCATTAGTGATATAAATTTTGAACCATCAGTTAAGTAAAAGATTCACACTTGTTTTTATGTTCAATTTGCTGCAATCCCTTTTTTGCTTTCTTTTTAGGTTAATACAATCTGTTGGAATGAGACTGGAGAATATATTTTATCTGGCTCGGATGACACCAAGTTAGTAATTAGTAATCCTTACAGTAGAAAGGTAAGTAATTTTTAAAATCTACAATTTTATGGGAGTGAGAGAAAAAAAGAAATTATAATAATTACGGACTGTAATAGAATATTCTTATTTTGCTCACGTTTGTTATATAATTTATAAGTTATTACAGCCAGGTTTGCTAGTTTCCTTAGCAAAACATTAGGTTTCGTTCTGTTTTTTGATTCTAGAATATTTAAGCATGCTTCATGTTATCCAAGTGGATAACATTGCCAAAAGTGATATTATCTCAATAAACCACTCTTTGAAGGCCAGGGAGGCAATGTGATCTTTTTCCTTTCTGCTCAAGGAAAAATTTTTTCAGCCAAGCAGTATAAGAAACGGTATTTTATCAGTTTAAAAACAGTGGCTAGGTTCTAGTGGTATGTTTCTTCAGTTCAATAAGCTGGGCTAGGAACTAGGATTGCGTTCTGGTTTTACTGGCTCTTCCTCTGACTGCTTATATAGGAGTACGCAACCATTTTTATGTCAGTGAGAACATGGTAAATAGGCACCCTTTTTTAATATTATCAATCTTACAGGATCAGTACTTCATGTATTTCTTATTTTCCTTTAGTTAAGCTATTTAAATAAATGTTTGTTGTCCTTCAGCCTAAAAAGAAGTTCACATTGATGCTGTCCTTGATGGAAAAGATAGGTCATAATTTTATTTCAGAGTCAGCTTTGCTTAATTATACTGGCTTACCAGAGGGAAACTTGATGTTTTCAAGCTCTATTTCTCATACGTCTGTAATTACTAGGACTACTACCTTTTTCTTACAGTGGAGAAATTTCCTGACCATTAGAATTTCAGTGCTTATAATATACAAAGCGCTCATCTAGGTACCGACAAACTTTCTTTAAAAAATGCAGAGCTTTATTTTTTTTAAATTGTGATAATATGCATATAACATAAAATTAACCATTGTTAGGAGTTCAGTTCAGTGACATTATATACTTTCACCTCATTGTGATACCCCGTCCCCACCCAGCTGCAGAACTCAGACTCTGCCCGGAAACTGGAGCTCCTCGTTCCCCCTCCCGGCAGCCCTCCCACAGTCACCAGTCTGCTTTCTGTGTCTATGAATCTGATTACTCTAAGGCACATGTGTCAAACACAAGGCCCGCGGGCCAAATCCGTCCCGCCAGGCCTTGCAATGTGGCCCGCACCGCGCTGTCATCACTGCACTCCGCTGCGTTTCCATCACAATGACAGTTTATGACTGTTCAGTAAACCATTCGGCCCGCGATTTAGGCTGGATTTTAGATTTTGGCCCCTTCTCTGATTGAGTTCGACACCCTTACTAAGGACTGCATCTACTTCTAGGCACAATAGCTGGTGCTGCTGGCCCTAGTTTGATGTTAATGAACTTCACATGTGTTTGTGCAACATTTGCCCTGTTATGACTGGCTAATTTTACTCGGCATAATTTTCTCAAGGGTCACCCACATTACAGCTTGGGTCAGATTTTCTATCCTTTTTAAAGCTGAATAATAACCCATTGTGTGGATAGACCACGTTTTATTTACCCATTTATCTATCAGTGGACACTTGGGTTGCTTTTGCTTTTGTCTGTTGTAAATAATGCTGCTATGAATGTAAGTGTATAAATAACTCTGCAAATTCCTGCTTTCAATTATTTTGTGAAAATGTCCAATGGGCCCTAGCTGGTTTTGCTCAGTGGATAGAGCGTCAGCCTGCGGACTGAAGGGTCATGTGTTTGAATCTGATCAAGGGCACATGGTTTCAGGCTAGATCCCCATTTAGGGGCCGTGCAGGAAGCAGCCGATCAATGATTCTCTCTCATCATTGT